GCCCAAGCCTGCGAGAGTTAGCCCGCGCGGGGTGGTGTTGGGTGCGCCTGCAGCTTACCTCCGGCATAGTCGCTCGACCAAAAAGAGGCCGCAAAACCCGTCGTCATGACGGCGTGTGAAGTGGGGTATCAAAAAGAAACAACCAAGTTGGGTACTGGTACGGGTGTGGTCGGTCAACGGCCGTAGTGAGCGCGCGGAGAAGTGAGTCTGGGGAACACGCAAGCGCAGGCCCGGTGCTCGAGCGTGGGTGACGTCGCCCTACAAAGAGGCTACTCGCGTAACGGGCAGTGCGTCGTGAGTGGGCGCAGCGCAGTGGTACTCGACACGGGCGGCGGCGGCGGCGTCGGGGAAGCGAGGGCAGTGACTGACTGAGGCACGTCGGTGTCAGGAGGGTTTTGCAGGCCGCAGCTGGGGCACGACTGCAGAAGAGCTGAGAGCTGAACGATGTCTCATGTACCCCTGCATGTGGCCGTTTGTCGTGACAGCCCTGGCACCGTCAGGCAAGCCTACCAATCTTGCGCGCTTCCGACATTTCGCCTTTAGCGGACGATATAAATACCCACGCAATTCACCGACCCCCAAGCGCGGCCCCTGCATACGATGTGGTAGACTAGTCCGAGCCCGCGCCTACTACCGTCTATGCATCATCGCCAGTCGCTGGGCTAATGCTGTCGCCCTGCCAGGTCCCCTAAATCGACAAGTTACTGCTCCGGACACTGACAGACGCGACGTCTGCGGGGCTCCGTCATCACTGCCTGACTAACCCTGCACGCGGAATAAGCCTTATTACAGGCCCATTCAGGAGAAAGTCACGTCTCCGCTAATCATTCACCCGTCTTACATACTCTGCGCAAACATTCGCCTTGGCCGTCCAGGTCAGCCCCGCCATCAAAACTCACGCCTCGCAGCGGGACCGAGATCTCGCTCGGCAAACGCCCCCGGGTCCACGCACCTCTTCTCCCTATCATGGCTCCAGCTGCCTTTGATGCCAACACACAACTCAACTATGCCCGCCACATCAAGTACTGGCGGCGGAACCTGAAGACTCTGCTGCCGCACTTCTACACCAGCAATGACTCCAACCGCATGCTATTGGCCCTTTTCACCGTGTCCGCTCTCGACATTCTGGGAGATCTAGACGCTGCTTTGTCAGCCGAGGAGCGCCACGGGCACATCGAATGGGTCTACAGCTGCCAACTGCCTGAAGGTGGCTTCCGCCCGTGGCCAGGGTCCAACTACGGCGAGCTCAGAAGTGAAGAAAACAAGAACTGGGACCCTGCCCATATTCCTGGAACTTTCTTTGCCCTCTTGACGCTGGTCGTGCTGGGGGATGATCTGGAGAGGGTCAAGAGAAAGGAGATCTTGACATGGCTGGTCAAGATGCAGAGACCCGAGGGTAGCTTTGGAGAGACTTTGGGCGATGGCGATGATGTCCATGGCGGCAACGACTCAAGATTCGGCTACATGGCTACAGCTATCAGATGGATACTCCGAGGCAACCTCGAGGGACCGTGTGAGGGTATACCAGATATCGATGTTGACAACTTCGTCACGTGTGTCCAACAAGCAGAGTGCTACGACGGAGGCATCTCGGAATCGCCCTACCATGAAGCGCATGCGGGCTTCACCTGCTGCGCCATCGCTGCCCTGGCTTTCTTGGATCGTCTACCCTTACCTCCATCACAAAAACCGGACGGTGTCATCCGCGGTGTAACCGACGTCCCAAAGACGCTGCACTGGCTCGTCTCACGGCAGACGCTGACTCTAGACGAGGACGACGGCTTGGATACTTTGAATGACGAGACAGATACGTCAGAAACCTGCCATGACGCGCATACGTTTGTCAAGCTGGGCGCCTATCCATCAGTACAGGCGAAAACCAACACAAAAGGACGGCCTCACATTCACTTCGAACTCGAGTGGGTTGGAGTGAATGGTCGATGTAACAAGGTAGCAGATACATGCTATGCTTACTGGACGTGCACGCCCTTACAACTCCTCGGTCATCTAGATATTGTCGATCGGCAACCGATTCGGAAGTGGTTACTAGATAAGACGCAACATCTCGTGGGAGGATTCGGCAAAGTCACAGGAGACCCACCCGACATGTATCATTCTTTCCTAGGCCTCATGGTTCTTGCCATGTTTGGAGAGACTGGCCTTCAGGACGTTGACCCGGCTCTGTGCATCACGCACAAGGCGAAGAAGCATCTAGAATCACTTTCGTGGCGGAGGAAGATTCTAGGACTAGACAAAGAATCGAATGGTGCGAATGCTCCCTCACAAGAAAGCATTGGCCTGGCTGGTGAAAGAACGCAGATAGATGCGTAGCCACATGGGAGTCGCCGTACCCAGCGCGCATCACTGTTCAAGGCTGCGAAGGACCCTTGCCAGTCATCATGATTCTAGAACAATAAATCTCAATTGATCGGAATGCAATTAGACTGTAATCACATCACGATCCTCCAGGGCTGCCTTCCAGGGTTCATGGTAGTCCCCAGACGGCGTAGCGCCAAAAGACCTCGGCCCCACCTGGACTCCCAGATCCCTGTCGGCCAGGTAATTTTCCCAAACTCCGACACCATTCTCTGCGAACATCTAGCGACAGCAACGAGCCAAATCACGCCGAGCCCCACATTCCAGATTGCACTCAACACAGGCTGCAATCATGAGGAACGCGCCGCCGCCATCGAAGAAGCGCAAAATCGCCGTCGCAGTCCCCGAAAAGATCGAGTTTGACTTTTCGGCGCGTGAAGAATATCTCACCGGGTTCCACAAGCGCAAACTTGCGCGGATAAAGCATGCACAAGAGGAGAACGCGAAGAGGGAGAAGGAGGAGAAGCTGAGGTTTAGGCGCGAGGTAAGCACACGATTGCGACATCCCATCTCAAAGTTGCGCGACAAAGACGTTCGTCTTCTGTCACCGGCGCATCTCTGGGTTGTATCCAGACCGGCACAGCGGCTAACGATACCCTAAAATACAGCTCCGAGAACAGCGCAAGGTTGACCTAGAGAGGCACGTCGAAGAAGTAAACCGACTCGTCAAACAAGCCAATGGCGACCTCGACCTCAGCGAAGCAGGCGAAACATCCGCCAATGATGACGACGACGATGACGAGGAAGAATTCACAGGCTTTCAAGAACCAGAGCCTATAAACCAGGAAGACGAATACGTCGACGAAGACAAATACACAACCGTCACGATAGAAAGCGTAGGCATATCCAAAGCCGGGTTTTCAACACAGGGACAAGAGGACGAAGAGGCTGCCGCAAAGAGGAAAGCAGACGAGGAGAGGAAAAAGGCGGAGGAAGAGAACAAGAAGCGGGTGTGGACAAAGGCGTGGCCGAAGAATAGCGAGAGGCCAAAGAAGAAGAAGAAGAAGTTTAGGTACGAGACCAAGACGGAGAGAAAGGCGGAGCGCATGAAGCAGGGCATGAAGAAGAGGAAGCAGAAGGAGGCTAGGGAGAACAAGTAGACGGGTAGATGTGTTGCTTGTTGGAAAGAAAGCTAGTGACTATACATGTCAAGACAATGATACCCCTTCACGATATCAAGCGGAACCCCGCATGTTGGTGCGCTGCCATGGTCGTGTTTTGCACAAGTCCAGCATTATTTCACTGCATAACTGCAGTGGGTCGTTCACCGCTCCTTGGTCAAACCTGGCAAAGCACATGTGAGTACCAAAGACAAATATGTGTCAGGAACCGCCAACAATGTATTCGCTCAGGGATTATCTAAAGCGAAGGCCCGCCCAGCAAGCAGCCGCAGGAAGGAAACAGATATATAGGGGTTTAGGGTAGGGTAGGGGGTACGGGGGAATGTAATGTGAAATCTGCCTCTTCTCCAAGCTCCACTGCATGCCGTAGTAATCATCCTCCGCCACTAGCCACCACGGACCGTTCCTCTTGTCGCACGCGCTCGAAATCGGCATCCGCAGAGGGACGATATCGAAGCTCGACTCAGAACTCGACTAGATACAGTCAACAACCACAAAAGAGAGACGACAGCGAGATCAGATGTTACCGATCTCCTTGACAAAGTCGTCGAGCTCCTTCTTGGTGTCGGCGTATTTCTTGGCCATCTCTTCGTACTTGGTTTCCCACTGGTCGCGGGACTGCTCGAGGGCTTGGACTTTGCGTTCGTAGTGGCCGGACTTGACGTCGGTTTGGCGGAGCCTGGAGGGTGACGTGTCAGTGGCTGCAGATCAGGGGCCGGAAGCGTGGAGGGTAGATAGGAAAGGGGAACAGCAATGGAATCAGCGGGTGAGTGAACGTACTTCTCGTTGAGCTCGCGGATAGTCCTGTCCGATTCCTCAGCTTCTTCCTCGAGAACTTGGATCTTGCGCTGGAGGCTCTCGGCCTGGGTGCCGGCCTGAGCACCTGCACCAGCTTCGTCCTTGTGGACCTTGACTTGCCCCTCAAGCTTCTCCACCTCGCTCTCGAGAACGGAGTTCTTGTGCGTCAGCGACGTGATCTCCTGCTCCTTCTGTGTCGTCTCCGACTCGAGCTGCTTGATCTTGGCCTTGTACTCCTCGGCTTTGGCGCTGCTCTCATCCGCCTCGACGCGGAGAGCTTCCATGCGCTGTGCAGAATGTCATGTCAGCGGCTGCTTTGGTACGACAGGCGTGCATTGTGGCGTCGGCTGTGGACTGGGAACCAAAGAAAGGGGATTTGGCGGGGTATGCGTGGACTCACCTTCTTGATCTGATCCATAGCTGCGAGAGGTGTGTGGTGCGGGCGACAGGTGTTTGTGTGGTGTTTGCAGGTGAGGAGAGCAAAGGAGCTGCAGCTTATGTAGGGATGTGGTACGGTTGGTGGTGCTTTGTTGTAAGAAATGTCTCCTGCAAGCGGATGGGCAAGCTGATAATGCGGGCAGGCGCTACCTCCGCCCGGACCCTGTGCGAAGCCCAGACCCTCTTTGCTGCCGCCCTAGCAACCGGCCGTAAACACTCAACACCCGATAGCGATAGCCACACGACTCGCTCAATGTAACCCCCAGAATGGCTACTCTCGCAGCAAACGACCAGGAGAACGCCGTCCGTCATCTGCACGCGGGTGCGGCGGGCAAGCCGCTCAATGCCGGCCTCAAGGGCTTCAACGCCAAAACACCCGGCAACAAAGCCCCCAAGACGCCTTTCAAGATCCCCCTCAACGACGAAAATGCCGTGGGCAAAGCGGGCAAGTCGGTCCTGCAGACCAAGGGCAAGGGAAACGAGCTCTTCACCACCAACAAGGGCGGCAAGATCGACCAGAATGCCTTCGTGACGCCAGCCGGTAAGAGAAGAGACGGCAGACTGTGCAAGACAACAACTGACGTGTCTAGGTCCGCGCACGCGCGCGCCGCTGGGCATGAAGACGACCAACGCCAAATCGAGGCCCTTTGGAACCCCAGCGCCCCTCTCTTCCGCAAAGACACAGAAACTCAGCCCTCGCCTGCGCCGCCCCAAAGTCAAGGTCCACCAGCCGGAAGTCGCGCAAGAGTCCGAAGATGACGTGCCTGAGATCGAATACATGCCCCCGAAGGAGGTCCCGTTCGAAGATGACATGGACGAATACCTACCCAAGAACTGGACCATGCCCAAGCTCAGTAACCAGGACATGGTCCGCGGCATTTGGCAGGCCTACCACAACCCAATTGAGGACGATGGAAGGACGCGTGAGCAGCGCAAGTTCGAGGAGGAGATAGAGCAGGGTCGGAAAAAGCGTGATGAGCAGATGGACAAAATACTCGCGGCGCAGATGGCCAAGGACGATGCGGAGACGAAAGAGTACTACGGTATCAAGGAGCCCAAGAAGGAGGCCCCCAAGGCACCTGCTGCACTCAGGAAAGCGGCCACTGGACCATCGACCATGCGAGCCAGATCTGCTGCCGCCGCTCTCTCTCCACCGTCCAAGCCTAGCTACGCTGCTCCCACTGCAGCTGTAAAGTCGCGCGTACCCACTGGCCTAGTCGCAGGCAGGAAGGGAGCAAAGACGCCCACGGAGCTCACAGCATCCCGTCAAGCATCCGCCGCAGCAGCCTCCAAGAGCACCATCGGCTACGCCCAAGGCCGCGCCGGACGCGCAGCCCCAGCTGCACGCAAGCCTCTCTCCAACGTCACCAAGCCCGCTCCTTTCTCCGCTGGCCCCCGACCTGCCTCCTCGACGCACATCCGCAGTGCCAGCACAAACACGGGTACCATGCGAGGTCGCGGCCCCGTGTCTCGCTGCAGCTCAACTTCCACCAATACCACACTTGTCACACCTCCAGAGGAAGAGCAGCCCCGCCGCACGGCTGAAGATGTAGAGCGTGAAATGGAGTTGTTACTTCTGTCACGCTCCGACGACGAGGACGACGACGCGTGGATGAACAGCTTCAACACCCAGCTACACGGTGAAGATCCCCTCGAGGAAGACCACGAGAATTTCCAGCTTCAACTCCCTGAAGGCTTCTAGGCCGTCATGGACAGTCTGGAAACGGGAAATCAAAGTGCCCGCGGATCGCCACTGTATTGGTCATTGTGCTGTTAATGGGTTATGGAGTACCGGTATTGGATACCTTTTGCTTTATGCGCGCATGATTATTTGGGTCTACATGCTATCACGGTGGCTCACTGTGTATAACACATAGCATGATTGTATTTGTATTGAACACCCCACGTTCCACTGTCACTACTACACATCAAGTCATATACCACCAAAGTAAAATCACCGGCAACGGACTGTCCATTTGATAATAGCATTTCATTAAGATGTAGCAAACGTCGTCGACCAGAGGAAGCGACCCTTCCTCCAGTTCCACCAACTATTTGCCCCTGTCTTTATCAAGCATATACCCATTCTGCCCTCCCTTCCCCAACCAAGCCATCCATCCAGTTTCTCTTTTGGTTCAAGGAAAAGCTTACGCAAAGACAATAGTATGAAGAAAGACCCCATGTACCCCAGTCCCTACACACAAAGGGAGGGGGCCAAGATGCGCGCTTGTGGAAACCAAGAAGGAGGAAAACACCATGAATGCGCCATGCTGCTAGAATCAAGTGAGACTGAGGAAAACGATGACGACGAGTGACTCTGAGCGTCGGTGACTGTCGCGGATGGATACGGATGTTCGTGATATTGTCGTGATAAGAGGACGGATGTGGGGTTTGTGGGATGCAGTATGTGGTTGTGTAGATTAGATTTACTTGCTCTTCCGCCTGCCTGACATCAATGTGTTAGGAAGCGTGGAATTTGCAGTCTGGTGAGTTGCTAGACCAGACGGATCAGTCAACGACCTCGTCTACGGCATAGAGATTCTGGTTAAGAATCTTGTTCATGGTGAACATGTGGACGCGGTCTTGTTTGAAGACTGCCCGCATGGCGTCGTCGCAGCGGATCTGGCGCCTGTCGTCCGGGTCTTGTAGCTCGCGCTCCTTGACGTACTCCCATATCTTCTTAACGGTCTGGGGGCGCGAGAGCTGGGTTTCGCCGAGGAGTTCGGAGAGGGCTGGGGAGAGAGCCATGGGTTTCTGGGCGTGGTTAGCGTTGGCTAGGGGTGGTGATGTAGACTGCATGAGGTTGACTTACATGGAAACCTCCTTTCCGGCTCGGGCTCTTCTTCTCGCCTCCACTACCCGATGCGATGTCGCTGTCGTCTTCATCCTTGATTCGGGTTGAGCTCTTCTTCTTGGTCTTGGTCTTTTTCGGCGCGGCTGCTTTCCGCTTTGTGTTCCCGCCGCGTGTCGCCCTGCCCATGCGCGCATTCTCCTCGGCTTGTAACCTCGCCGCGAATGCAGCATCGTCATCCTCGTCCTTCACCTTGGTCTTCTTGACCTTCTTCTTAGGAGGCGCAACATCTTCGACCTCAGACAGCGCGGACTCGTCATCGGGCGGCGATCGCTTGTTGTGGGAGACGTCGGAGGTATCGTCATTCGAGGCCTTTGCGCCGTTCTCGACTGTGGGTATAGGTTCAGAAACCTCGGAACCGCCATTCTGCTCGTTGTTGAACTTGTCGAACCGCTGCATAATGAGCGTGGTGATCTGGTCCTATTTGCGAGTCTCAGTATATGCCGCTGTATGTTATATTGAGCTTCAAACCTTCTGCTGTGAAAGGTCATCCTCGACTCTCTCTTGTAATCCCTTCCGTATGCGCTTCGCGCTGATGGTGTTTATGTCGCTGGCGCGTAGGATCTCGTCGATGATGACGGAGTAGGAAGCTTGCACTTCGGCGGGGAGAGGGTCTGCTGTGACACGTTAGAATGTAGACATACGCGTAGCAGACGGCAAGTGGGCACGTACCTGCCATGGCTGCGATATTTCAAGTCTCGGCAGCAAGAAGTTGCAAAGGTAGAGGCTGTAGGTAGAGAGGTGGTCGCCGCGGGGAGCAGTCTCCAAAGCACAAATTATCGCGGAGCTCCGATGCAGCTGCGATGTTCGTGGTGGCTATGTCGTGCGAAGAACCGCGGTTGGTACCAGGGTCGCGGAACCACCAATGGGACCTATGATGTGGATGGATGCAGAAGATACGTAGAGAGCGTCGCGTACGGCGTGAATGTCGCCAGGCTCTCACGTAGCGATCGGCAAGCGTCGTCGCGCAATAAACTCCAAGACGGGTGAGAGAGGGCCAGCGAAGGTGCCCGGGCAGCCAAGTACGTCGGGCGCCTCAAAAGGGTAGTTCCGTAGTGGGGTGCAGTCACGGGCAAGCGACAGCAATCTCGTGTGGGAAGAGGCTCAAATTTAGAAAATGGGTGCAGCGGAGCTTGGGTGCTGTCGTGGAGATGAACGGGGCAGGTGAACAGAACTAAGGTTCATGGATCGTTGCAGTATGCGCGATGAGGTGTGAAGTCGAATGCACGGGCGCCGTCTAGCTCAGGTACGCCGATGGAGGCTGGGAACCACGACCGTCTAAGTAGTTCGATCCGACAAAGAAAAGCAAACCCGACACTCTTGTTGGCCCTCACAGTGCTTGCACGCGCGCAATTGTCAGAGACATTGGTTTTCCGTCATGCATCGCATCGCCTGCACAAGCTGCAAGCTACGTATTTGTTGGTTTCCATGCCAAATGCGGTAATCTATGTATGCCACTAGTCGGGGTCCAACAGCCTCGCTTTCAACCTTGGAACCATTCGAGTCGACGCCACTTCCATGGTTGGAGCCGCCGACAACTTCACATAACCAGACAGCCTACTCCATACATCTGCTTTTCCACCGCACTCTTGATTTGATACCAATCCGCTCTTCTCTCCGCGAACTCATACACCTCTTCTGCTCGGAATATGCCGTGGTATCTGTCCGTGTCGGCAATGATGGTAGCGATCTCTTTCGCTTCCTTTGCGTCGATGAGATATATCTGAGAGAGCTCGCGAAGCGCGGCGAAGTACTGCATAAGGGGCTTGTTGCGCAGCGATACAATGTACGCGTTATATGCATTCATGTCACTGCTGGGATTAGTTCATGTCTAGGTCTCCGCATCATGTGTCATACCTGATGAGTTTGATGGCGCCATCCACACTGATTCTCTGACGCTTCAGGTGCTTGCATAGAGCAGTGAACAAGCGCACACCAACTTCTTGGTTGAAGACGTCCAGGACGTTCTTGTCTGTGCTGCCGATGAGCATGTTTGTGTGTGACGAAACAACTTCCACAATCTTCGTTGCCGTCTGGCTAGGTCCAATGTCGGACATCTGCACCTGCCCGTTGGGCCCAACGGGAGGATTGAAGTCGGATGGGTGTTGTGTAGTGCCGCAGAGATACTCCACTTCGTCCATCAGCACATCGATACCCTTGTTGAGACCTGCAGCGACACGCTCATCCAACATGGCCTCAAAACGCTTCTTCTCCTTTGCGGCAAGGCTGAGGAAATCGTCGCGGTCGGTAAGATTGGCAGCCACAAGCTCCTGGAGATAGAACACCTCGACCATCTGTTGTATCAAGTCGCCAACGTTGACCAGTTCCAAGAAAGCTACCAGCGGCGCAACACCCTCTTTACTATGATCCGCGACTTCTCGCGGCTTATAGTCAGCCAAATGACTGACAGCCTTGTCGAATCCCAACTTCATATGGCGGTTGCCGAGAATCTGGACTAGGTTGATAAAGATCTGCTCAGACTGTTCCTTCGCCTCTTCACCGGATTGGCCACCAAGTCTAACAAATCGCGCGGCTCTTTCCAACCCAGACTTGGCCATGTGTGTCAGGTTCAGCGCCACTTCGATGCTAAACAGCGATCGGATGCCCTCCAAACGCGAGTTCATGATTGCTGCTTTGGCAGCAAGTTCAGTGGTTGGGGCTTCGATTCGCGGTGTAGGCGACCGTTCGCCAGAGAGAGGAGTGCCGAGTCTTGAGGTAGGGTCCAATGCGTTAGTGCCGTTTACGCCAGTTACGCTTTCGTTGGGCTTGCTAGCACTAGAGCCGCCAATAGCTGGGAGCACATTTACAGGCATCATGACCACCTTCTTGAATGATGACAGAAAGTCCTGTTTAACAGCTTTCCGGTTAACATTGGCCATGTATAATGTTTCAGTGCTCTGCTCTTCTTCCATCAGACGCTTCTCCCACAGGTCAACTTCTGCAGCTGACTTTCGCTTGAAGTAATCTAATTCCTCTTGTAGGTAAAGGTCGATGTGTTGCTCAAAGCAACGAGACACGATGCGCATGGCCTCTTCGCGAAAATCGGGCTTCGACGCATTGGTAGGTTGTAATGAGACTGCAAGTTGCAGCGCTTGCTCATAGAGTCCCGCAACTGCTTTTAGATATGCTTCGATGCTTACATCGTGAGCCTCGTCGAACAAAGTCGTGAGATATTCGGCGATGACGTCATCCGCAACGCGCTCAAAGAAGGTTTGTAGCACGTCGACAGTGGGGGGAAAGACACGATCGATTATGTCTGCTTCTTCGTTGAGCGCACTTGCCAATCCTCTGAAAAACTCGTGGGATGGTTCCAGTGTCAGCACTTCGTTGCGTAGGCAATCTGCAGGGTCACCAAGCTTCTCTTTCTCCAGCATCAAAGGGTGATTGTGAATAAAAGAGTCCAAACATGCCGCGCCGCCGTTTAGAGCCACGAGGACGGTAGCAAATCTCTTCATACGTCCGTCAAAGTCTTTGTCTGCATAGCCTTGCTCAAACTCTCGGAGTACAGCGTTCTCGAAGATGCCAGTCATCGTGTCTAGTTTCTCCTCGCGCTGGCTCCAACCTTGTGCGTAGTCGCTTTTTGCAAACATCTTGAGCTGCGCCAGTATCTGAGCCTGTTGCTCGGGATCGCGGTAGGTCCGAAATAGAATAGGGTCTGTATGACTTCTTGACCTCTCCAAATCGTAGTAGAACGGGGCCAGCGCTCCGTAGACTTTGCCATACTCTTGCCGCGCCATGCCTCGAATCGAACGTACATTCGCAAGGACCTTGACAGCTGCCTGCGGATCCACCGCATACGAGTTTTGTGCCAACGTCCCGGAAGGGGACAATGTCATGTCATTGAAGCCCTT